TTTGGATGACTCAAAACTTCCTTCATCTTAACTGCGACAAGACTGAAGTCATGCTTATTGGCGCCCACCATCAACTTCGTCAAGCCAGTCCTGTAACCCTATCTGTAGATGGTTCTGTACTTGAGTTTCAATCAAAATTGAAAAACCTTGGGGTTATATTCAATTCTGGCTTAACATTCGACCCACATGTGCAGCTTACTGTCAAAACATATTTTTTTCACCACAGAAATATCACTAGACTACGGCCCATGCTATCACAAACTGTGGCTTAAAAGCTGATCAACACATTTGTGTTCTCTCCAATTGACTACTGTAATGCTCTACTCGCTGAGGTATTTAAATCTACTCTGAACAAACTGCAGTATGTCCAAAATTCAGCAGCCAGAATCCTGACCAGGTCTAGTGCAAGTTATCACATTACTCCTATCCTGGAGTCCCTGCACTGGCTTCCGGTCAAATTCCGTGTGGACTTTAAAATCGTCATACTCACCTATATGGCTTGGCACCTCAGTACCTGTCTGAACTATTATCGCCCTACTCCCCACCTCACAACCTTCGCTCTTTTAATTCTGCTCTCCTTACTGTCCTCCAAGCCCATCTACATTGTATGGGTAACAGGGCCTTCTCCTGTTATGCCCCAAAGCTCTGGAACTTTCTCCCCAAGGATATCAGAGAGTCACCTTCTCTAAAATCCTTCAAATCTAGACTCAAAACCCTCTTCTTCAGAAAAGCCTTTACTTAATTGGTTCCAATCTATACCCCTCTGCTTTTCTTAGTACCACCTTCCATGGTCTCCTCTATATATAGTAATTGTGTTTTATCTTGTGTATTCTTTTTATTTATTGTTCTTGTCATCCTGTAAAGCCTTTTGAGAAGCCAGCTTTAAAGGTGCTATATAAAATAAAGTTTATTATTATTATTATTATAGGTTGACCTTAAAAACATTGTCTTTAAGGGCACCAAAGACTACTGTCATTGGTAGGGTGCTTCTAAGCCTGTAGTACTAATATTAAGGGCTATACAGTACATTTGTTCATTCGGCATGTTACAGAAGTCTTTTATACTCTCAGTAAAGAAAGACTTCATGCTCTTGACTTGATGGTAGACACTTGAGAGAACATGTGTTTTGTCACTCTTAATCAATTCTGATCAATCAATCTGCTTAAAACAACATTTTCTAAACTTGGCTTCTCATGGTACATCACCTCAAAGATCATTAAATCAAACTAAAAAAAACGTCCTAGCACAAAAATAAATAGCAGACAACTGTGATAATATTAAACAGCACATTAGGCTAATATACAAACATGCTTGAGCAGGAGGTGCAGCAATACTCAACCTGAATGGTGATTGGCTGTCCTACATTGGTTGAAACATAGAAAAATACATGATGGAGAAAAATACATCCAGAAAATCTCAATAAATATGTCTGTGTTGAATAATAAGATATGTATATACTGTAAAATGATACAGTATATGGTAAACAATCCTTCTGTGTAATCATAAATGCAGAACTAACAACTTCATAGACTACAACAGATGCAAACAAATTGTAAACCAGTAGGAAAACACTTTGATAAGGCAAAGGGAGCTATTTGTTAGCAACTCAATAGGAAAAGCTAAAATAACAACTGGGGAAAGATATCCTACATACTGTAGATATGATGAAAGTCTAGTTTTATCATTAACAATACTAATGAAGCAAAGTAAGGAACAGAAAGCTAGTTTCAGAATTGGTGTTTTAAATTTGCTCACTATGCCAGCATTTTATGACTTGGGCTTGCTTGTGCACATTTACGTGGGTCATCACCTCAAAGTCTCAACAGCATTTCAGCACAGTGAGGGTCTCTCTTTATGATCAGGCAAGCTGGCGACGCCGACACCGCAGGGGAGAGATCTCATTCTTAGAAGCAGCATGTGGCTCCTTACAGCAGGTATTTAATGAGATTGGTGCCAATTACAGCACAATATCACTGCTTGCTATGCATTTCAACTAATTAGGCCGGAATGGACTCAATGTTAGGGTACTCCATTGGTGATAATGATATTGAAGAAAGATTAAAATCCTGGATTAGGTGAAAAAAATGTTGACAAATTAAGTGAAATTTTCCTTCAGAATGAGTAGTGAAATACAAAGCGGATGGCATGAAGGAAGCAAATATAAAATAGAGAAATTTGTATATCAAGGGTTGTGAGTATACAGTATGTTAGAACAGGCTACCCAGCCTGAAGCTGATACACTGTTTTTTTTCCAAGTAACAGCTGGATGAGATCCTTGGATCAATTAACTACTAACAAAGCAAATGGGCTTGTTGGGATGAATGTTCTCCTTTCGTTTGTAACCTCTCTTTTGTTCTAATACACAGTTCTCACTCTTTTGTACAGTATCTCAGTTAAATTAGAAACCATGCCAACACATTCATTAGGCCATTCACTGGCCATAAAAGCTGCCCCTCACTGACAATGCACTAGTACTGTGACAGAACTGAGAAATTTTGTTTACATTACAGATCTACTCTGTAATAGGTTAAAATCAAATTTGTCAAAAAATGAGGATAACCAAAATGTCTTAAAACCGATACAAAGAACAGCAGTTAAAAAATCTTCGGTTTTCAATTTGACCTACAGTGCTTACAGTATACTGTATTGAGAAGATGTTTATAGTTACAAAAAGATTCTCTGGTAAACAATAATTGTGCGCCAGAAAACACTGCGAACAGACACAAAATGCAAGACTTTGGCAGCATTTCTTGCACTAGCAATTGAAGTTGATTGTATAGCTGCATTAAAGCTTATCAGTACTGCTGGATCAACACAGGAAAAGCAATAGGAAAGGATATTTCAGGTATTTCAGGAGTTACTGGATTTGATCCTTTCATATAGTTAAACAGTCATGGATGGGTCTTCCTTTTGATTAATAAAAGAGACGTTGAGTTTCCTGTACACTATCTTTCGAAGCAGTATTGTACAGCATGAGTAACAGGTGTTATGAAATTGTGGAAGCTTTGCAAAATATAAATTATTGTAATAACATACATTTAAAGTTCTGTATTGGATCTATCTTACCTTTTACTGGACCCTGAAACCTGTACTAAAAAGTGCTCACGCAAGTATGAATCATACTTTAGTGTGAATTACTGTAATAGACCAGTTATTAGTCTAAAGAAAATTTGCATTATGAACCTTGCTCCTGATGGCACTAATGTTTGTTATACAGCTGGATGATCATCATCCCCAGAAAAGAGTTGCCTATTTGCAGCATATATTTACAATAAAAGGTCTTTTATTTTCTAAAATTTAAATGTCTGAGAAACAGAAACCTATTAAAGTGCACACTGTATGCTGTATAAAAAATGGCAAGTCACTTCAAGGACTCCACTTTTAAATTCCTCTTTGCTATCTCGCTAGTATGAGATGGAGATTCCTGCACTTGTGAGTTCTTTTGTTGTTGAATAATAAAACCCCGAAAAAGCAGTGGAGTGCTTTGATTCCCTATTCAGTGCTGAGAAAAAAAAATGATTCTTTTTCACCTAGCTTTTATGGGTTCAAGATGCCAATGGCTGCATTGGAGTGGAAACAAAAAGGAAAAGAAAAAAAATGAACAAATCTGTAATGCTATCCTCAGTGTCTCCCTTTAAAACTAACTGTATATGTACAGTATATACATCAAGTAAATGCTGTATGAAATTGCTACCACTGGATATTTACAGGCTGAAGAATATCCTTGTTTTTGGGATTAGTGTTATTAACCAAGCAGTTCTGGGACTATAGAATAAATATAGCATCAACTGGGAGTTAAGCCTGATTTCATTTATAGTTCACCCACAAGGCTGCTTAAAACATTCCCAATGGGCAACCTATTACCAGCCTACAGTACTGTATGTACCCAGGTGTCTTACTTTGAGTTCAGTGGAATCTCTGATTGCTTTGAGACAACTGTATGCACCACAAGGATATGCCTGCTGTGCTGTTGTTTGTTTGTGGTATTTCCTATTCTATTAGCTCTACCTGATATTTTTAAAAGCAGTTGATCTGCCCTGTATGAGTGTAAATACTCTATGAAACAACAGTTCTTTTTCCACTTTTGTACTGTACCTGTTTCACAATTTCTGATGAGATTGTTTTAGGCATTGTAGGAGCCAAAACTCTAAGGCAGCATTTTTCGGCATTAATACTTTTTAAAATACAAATTTTAAAACGTCTAATTTCATACACCACCGTTATATAAAGACAAAAAACACAGGCATTGCAAAAGGTATTTAAAACTAAACTAAGAATGTACAGTACTACAATACCAATGCAAGTATAAGAATGCACATTTATACATGTATCTGTTTCGAGAAATATGAAATATGCATGAAATACGGTATATATAAAATATTCTTGAATTTAAGAAACTGGAATGGAACACAGGTCACAATTTGAATGATTTTGCAGAAGTATCAAACTCAACTGTGTGAGCATGATTATGGATACAGTTCATACTTTTTTCTTTTTAAATAGATCTTTCACAATATGTGTTGAACATTCGAAAAGTCTAAAATCTAGTGACATAAACATCAGGTTTATAAAAATAATAATATCTACATTCTAAAGACAACAGAATATACAGTACTGTATATAAAATATATATTATTTCATGATTGATTTCAGGAAACAATGTTAAATACTTCTATGCTTAAAAACAACATCCATGCGCACCCGGGCAGCATATCAATATACTATGTAGCCACAATTTCATTTATTCCTCTACATTTGAACATGTAAAGACAGAATAAAGAAATTGTAACTGTAACCATGATGAGGTACTGTATGTGAGTAAGGATTGGTAGTTTGGGCTGCAATAAATCTGTTTTCCTAGGTAGGTTGCGGTGGGTTTATGGTTATCTAGAAAAACACTGAATACCAGGTCAGCCCTACTTTTGGCAATCTGTCCAATGACAATGCAGAACAAAGTGATACCCTCCCCACAATCCCCCTCCCCCCCGTCCTACACTCACGGTTGCGAGGCTTGTCCTCATCCAGCCCTTCGTCCTCATTCTCAGGGTCGATGTCCTCAGCCTGTGTTATCCAGTCCAGGTATCCCTTCAAATCCTCCTCCAGCTGCTGCTTTTCTCGCAGCTTCTGGAAGTCACCCCTGGCTTTGGCCTTCTCTCGCTCCTTGGAGAACTCTCTGCCACAGACAAAGAGGAGAGGTGGAGGAAGAGAGAGAGAAAGTGGAAGGGAGTCAGTACAGAGCAGGATGCTATGTTAAACTCACCCACCAAATGTCTCCAACCAAAGTTGACAAGTAAAACAACCATTATGAAAAAGAAAACATTGGAGATTTTGAAGTGAGTTAGGCCTAGGAAGCATTACAAGGTTAGATTTAAAGAATCAAGCTGAATTATGTTTGAAATACTTTTCTCTACAAGGGCGAAGGTAAGCATGTGGAGGTTCTCTAGTTTTCTTTTATTCCTGTAATGTAATAAGAAGAGAATGGAGTGCCTGGGGATAGGAAAATTATTTAGAAAAATATATCTGCAGAGCCAAGCAAAGGCTGACTCATACTTTTTCTCTCATGCTCCTTTCTGTGATTTGAATCTGCATTTGCTTGCTTCTTTGAACTGAGTGTACATACGAATAAAGGGGGAGAGAGACTGCTCAGCTCCAGTCATAATGCAAATGACATGAAGCAGCTGTTGTCTTCAATATGTTGCATGTGACAAAAATATAACAATGACGGGGATCACTAGAAATTTCTAAGAAAATGCATTTACAAAAGCAGTACAGTATAAGCATAGTGCTACAAAAAGCAAATCATATGACACACTACTGAGATAAAAGTAATAATGGCATCCAGGACACTATATGGTCAAAAGGACCAGAAATGTGAGAGGCCATGCAGTGTTTCAAAGGTGCCAGCTGTTTTGATTTGGAGCCAAAATGTCTGAAAGTCCTCTCATACTTTCAGCTTTGGCAGAAGAGTAGAAATAAGAATCACCTCTGAAAAAAAGTTGGATTTAAATACTTTAAAACATCAAGTTTTGGTGTTCCAAAAATATGGAAGTATACACAAGTCTACATTGACGCAATTGCTTAGGGAGTAAGTAGTCTTGAGATGTCGAATTCCATGCACTGCTGTTGGATGCTGTCTTTTGGCCTCTGCCTGCAGCTACAGCAGAAACACCTTTCTCCAAATCCTGGCATGATGAAAGAATTACCAGTTGGCATTTCTCAAGCAGCTGCTGTGATTCCAGACAGACAGCAACCTCCAGGACTGAACATAACTTGACATCTTGAAAGTGAGTTCACTGGATTTATGACTTATGACTATAAAAACCTGCAGCTATAGCAATATATAAAAAATGTGTGAATAAAAAACATTTGAAAAACAGCAACAGCATGCTACTTTTCTTTAAAGCTCTTTTAGCCAATGATATTAAGCTTTTTATGGTGTTATAAACCACAGCTAATTAGGACACGTAGCACCTTATAAAATAAATGTACCCTTTTAACTCTTCAAGAAATTGATTTTAGAAATATCAGGCCTGTTCATTTCCTGGGGTCAGGGCATTTTGATCCATTTTTAAAGGTGCAGCCAATTTGGTTGTGAACAGTTTGTGTTTGTGTTTTTCTGCCAGTTGTTTGTGAGCAGTTCTTGAACTTCAGTTGTCACAAGACTACAAGAGATCGATTCAAAACCTTTCAGTCTCATTTGAGACAAATGAGAGGAAAGTCAAAAGCCAAAACAAAGCAATAAAAACCCATTGGTTCCTTACCCGCTCAGCACACCAAGAACCAAGTTAAGAACAAAAAATGACCCTATGATGATAAGTGTAACAAAATAGATCCATGGCCATTCATTTCCTACGGCATCATTGACCTGGAAAAATGGAAGGATAATTAGTAGGCAACACTCGGAGCAAGAAGATTCCATGGGAAAAACAGCCTGTGTTCAAGATCCACTGCAATTCTAAATTTTTAAACTTTTCTCACATGTGTGGGAAGCTAGATTTTTAGTTTGGCTAATAATATCCAAGATTTCTCAAGGTTTTGCCAAATTTCTAGATTTTTTTGCAAAAGGAGAAAAACAATTTCAGTATGAACAATTAGAAAGCATTCATTCCGACTGAACCTCAACATCCTCCTACTTGCAAGTAGTATAACAAGCCAAGAATTTATTTTCATCAATTTACTTTATCATTAAATATTAATTGTAGAGTTGCGTCACAGACCTAGTGTTGGTTTCAGCCACAAGAGGGCAGTTTAAGGAAACTCAAAATCCAGGGATTTGCACAAGGATCCAAGAGAGGAATCTAATGCAACAGTTTCTCATTAGTTTTCTCTAATAATAGAGATCACAAGAGAAGATACTGTACCTTGTCTCAAGATAAGACCACACCCACCAAGTCTCTTAGAACAGTCTCATGGGTGAGACTAGTGGTTGGGGTTTTTTTAAGAGTCAGGATGAATATGAGCAACTGAGAGAGTTTAGAGCTTGCCCATCGATTCTGGGTTTACTAACTACAATATGGATATATGGCAATGGTATTTCCCATTGGTTAGGGAAATGGTTATCAGGTTTAGTCAGTTCAGGTAAACAAACGCTCTGAGGAGCCATTTTATTTACTCCCCTGGGAGTAAGAAGCTGGGAATTCTCAGGTCGACAGAGTAACTCCAGCAGCTGGCTCAGGGTGAAGGAACCCCATTAAGGTTTAGACAAAGGGGGGAACTGAATAGACTTGCAGGTTAGGGACCAATTTTTGGATGGGAATGGGAACGGGAATTTATTACACCAGAGTTGGTCTGACTTCATCTGCAGCTCTGAAGTTACCGGTAGTTTTCTGTAGGTGATTAATGTAAGTAGGTGTACCTATACTATGATGGAAGTTAAGAGGGACTTGCAACAACTATATAACGTATTCAGTGTTGTCAATTTAGCACACATTAAACACTGAAATGATAGCTTGTCAATATTTCTCTATGCCTTTCCCTTTTGTAATGAACTTGCAAAGACACAGAAATGTTTATTCTGCTACAGTACTCATTCAGTATTCTGCAACGGTTCTTATCAACTGTTGGGTTTTAATTGGATAAACAATCCAATAACCAGCAGAACAGTTTTGTATATGAAATGTTAATTATTTTTTAGAACTTGCATTACACAGATTAAAAAGACGTAATAACGTTGAGTGGTTAGTACTTGGTGTGGTATCACGTTTAAAGGGAAACAATACAGGGTGGCACTGTGGTGTAGTGGTGGACATTGCTTCCTTACAGCAGTGGGACCCTGGGTTCAAATGCTGGGATGCTATCTGTGTGAAGTTTGTGCAGTGTTTCCCACAGTCCAAAAACATGCTGCTAGGACTTGGTGTGAATAAGTGTGTTTGTGTGTGCCTGTTGCTTGCCACAATGGGCTCTGGCTCCCCTGTGACCCTGTATTGGATAAAGCGGTCAGAAAATGAAAAATTAAGAAAATAAAAATGAAGACAGAAATGACTGTATTTCCAAGACCTGGTGTTTTTTTATTGGCCACTCATCTTAACAAGCCCAAAGCCACACTGTACTATACATGACCTCTTTTATTATTACTGTTATTGCATTTGTCCTTGTGAAAAAAAATCTGAATACAAAAATATCCTATTAAACAATGCACATTTCAAAAGTAGTTTTGGAACGTTCGAATCTGCTGCCAGCCTTTTTTTATTATTGTTAATGTTAGACTTTTGTCCCATGGAATCTTGCTGTCCGGTGACTCACAGCAATCACCAAACAAACCAGTCTTACCCGCTCAACACCCCCAGAACCAGATTTAGAACGAAAAAGGATCCGAAGATGACCAGACTGACAAAATAGACCCAGGGGAGCTCATAACCCATAGCGTCCTGCATCTGGAAGATGGAAGGAAGGTTAAAGGAAAGGGAAAGGGAAACAGAAAAGAGGCAGCAGAGAAAGAGAATGGAGAAAGACATTTTGAGGGCTTAGGTGAACCAGTTTGCTTGTTTGTTCATGTGCTCTATAGAAATAGGACTGTCATTTTGACCATTATTATTTGTAGCCTATAAGAAACCTTCAGAAGCAGGACAAGCTCCAATTCCTACAGATTTCTGGGTCTAGAGTAGAAATATGGGTTCTCCAGACCTGTTTTTTCTAGTCTTCCTAGTGCTAATGCAACTCCACCATCCCCCAACTCTACTACCAATGCAGAACGCTTTTAGTTTATTGGTCAGAAAGTTTTCTTTCAACTCAAAAGCTAACACACCAAATTAGACTTATTCTGTAAGTGCATTATTAAGATTTATATGATGTGCATGTTTATGCGATATGATGATAAAAATTGCTCATTTAAAAATCTATCCCTGTTTTATTTTATCATATGTATTTTATGTGAAATTAAACCACCGTCTACAGCTTATGATGTTCTGCAGACAAATCATAAACTTTTTATCCATGAGTGGTTTTTGCTATGGTTGTTGCCTGGAACAAACTACATGGGCATTTTTTAAAGCATATTTCAAGGAATCATTTAATAGAAGCTAAGATATGATCTTTGGATCAATAAGCTACGAGCATCCAAGTGAAGATGAAAAGCTGAATAGCCTCCTCCCATTTGTCACCTCTTTTCATATTCTTACTTCTTTCTAGGGATCTAGGCAGGGCAATAATAATAATAATATTCTCATATGGCTTAATATATGGTATGCACTGTAGTTATTTCATCATAAAATGCACAGTAGGTATAATGAGCAGCACAGTGTCAAGGTCGTGAGTGCTGCTACAGTATATCACTCTCTTTCTGCTTTCGGTTCAAATCCTGCAACTAGCAGAGGAATCCTACTCCGTTGTGCCCCTAAGCAAGGCCCTTAACCCCAGCTGCTCCAGGGGAGCCGTATAAATGGCTGACCCTGCGCTCTGACCCCAAGCTTCTCTCCCTGTCTGTGTGCCTGTGTGTCTGTGTGTCTCATGGAGAGCAAGCTGGAGAATGTGAAAATACAAATTCCTAATGCAAGAAATTGTATATGACTAAAAGTGATCTCTCACTGCTTTTGGGTCCTAGGTTTGATTCTAGATTGGGTCACTTTCTGAATTCGGAGTTCTCCGGCTTTCTTCGATCTCTCAAATACACACTGGATAACAGACCTGAGGAAAAGTTTGTGGACTTCCTTTGGTTAGTTCGTATTCTAGTACATTCCAGACTTAAAATGTGATTAGATCTTCATAAAAGTGTAAAAAACAGATGAAGATACAGTAACCTGATTAAATGTGACTTGAATCAACATGGTCTTGAATATTTTTCCATTTCTAGACCATTTGTCCAATTGATCTATCAGATGGATGGAGCCCTAGATGTTTACAAATAGTTTTGTATCCATTTCCAGATTGAGGACTCATTCTCTGAGGTCCTCTGTAATCTCTTTTGATTGTGGTATGACATGTTTCCACTAACCTTTTCTGATAAAGAACAAACTCACAATGTTTTAAGCCAATTATATTGGACATAGCTGACCGAATGTAGTCCTTGTATACAGTACTTATACCCAATTATTTAGCCACCTGATTCTCTAATTGTGCTATGCAAACTAGAGGTTCACTTATTATTTCTCTTAGTGTACACCGTTTCTTTATTATTCATTTTTGTACTTGATATACAACTGTTTCAACAGACATTGCATAGCTAAAATATTTGCTTGAAAATACCTGTTTTGATTAAATACGGGTATCATGGTAAGAAATTGTAATTCTCAGAATTCTATGCTTTCAGGATAAGTTACTACAACTCCTACCAGAAATAATGAGTTACTCCAACTTCTACCAGCTTTCTGATAATGTTTGGATGTCCTGTAAGTATACTATTCACATCATTAATGCAAATCATTCAAAACACTTCTGTCTATGTTTTCCAAATCACTGATTTTAGTGGTGATGCTAAAACCTTGCACACAGTCTCATTCTAGGACGAGATCACAGACATGTTTGGTTGTCCTTCAGAAAATGATGAAACAATACGGCTGATTTTGTTCTTTTATTCCCCTACCAAATATCTGCGTGGCTTTCCACTGACTTTTGTTCTTGGTCTTCTCTGGGAATTTAATTTTTACTAACATCACATATGGCATATGTCACAGCCAGAGGGAAAATGTGTCATTTAAATACATTTCTTTTGATTACTTCCATCCTTTAACAAACCAGTTTGGCAGTTCAGCAGAGGATTCTGTCAAATATTCTGGCAATTTTACATAAATATGTCAATAAAGAGTACATATACCGTACATACTGTTTAAAATACTTCTGCTTAACATTTGTAGGCCCTCTTAACCACAACATTGAGCATGAGTGAACTGATTAGCTGTTGCTAAATGTTTACGTTTTGTACTGTATACAACTACTGAAAAATTATGGAAGCAGTGCTTTTCTGCTTATTGGTTTCAAAAAGTCTTAATAAACAGGTAAGACCGTGAATCATATCACCCCCCCTCAAAAAAAAATAAAAGCACAAAATGCCTTATGTATATTTTTAAGTGAATTTTCTTGAGATGTACTCAACACATAATATACTGTAGTTTGATAAAAACAAAGGAAGGCTGTTCCCTCCTGTCAGGCTGTGATAAATGCCACAGTGATGCTTGATGGGAAATCACTGATGTCTTGGACTGCATCTTTCAGGATGGAATTATCAAAAGCTGATGATGATGACATTTGTACTGTACCAAAATCAAACTCATGCTTTTCTATCAAACAACTATGGAAAGATGTTAGTAAGTCATCGAGTCAGGAGAATTAAATCCAACAAAAAGGCTTGAACAGCATTAGAATTATTTAAATACATTATAAGGGTATAACTGTCAACAGTCCAATTTCCCATAACAATTTCAAGTTCCCATAGGTTTGTGATATGAAAAAATCTATTTATGTACTGTATATTTTACATTAAGCAGCTCTCTTCATGACAATGCTGCTTATGCAACACCTGAGTCTGTTCTTCCTTTTTTGTGTCAGCTCTACCTTTTTCCATCAATATTCATTTAAAAAAAGTAATTGAGATGGTACCCATGGAGCAGCAGAAATAAAATGTTTTAGAAAACACCCATTAAAATTGCTTGTTCATTAATAAGCTGCTGAATATTTTGTCAGTGTCCAATTCTGACCACTGAGTGAAATCATTAGTGTAGATTACATTACTGAGCTGCTTAACTGACAATGCTTATTGAGCAGCAACTTAACAGGACCTGAATTCGTGCAGGCAAGATCATTGCTTAAGGATTAGGCTCTGAATGTTAGAGCAATTGGATTCAAGAGTTTAATCCAAAACTTTCCAAATTCACCAGTAGAGGCTGAACACAAAAACACATGTAGTGATGCATAACTTAAGCATGAATTGAAGCACAGAAAAATCATGAAATATTCAAAAGACATGGTTGTATGTAGTGCCTTGACAGTGAAGACTCTTCAGACCACAGCACAGCGCATTTGTTAAATCATTAAATCATACACATTAAACATTTAAACTCCACTAGAAGTACTGTAAGTCACATGTGCCATTTTCAAGCTATATCTTCATATTTTTTCCTCATTAAAAATTAAGGTTCTACAGGATATTAAGAAGAACACAAAAATAAATTGGTCAGTGTTAATATCACTGATTATTTTCTGATAAAGTGCTCAGTAGCCCTTTAATACCACATTGTATTTTTAAGGACGTATGCAACTGTAGTGTAATTGCTGTGCAAAGACATAGCAGTTCAAGAAACAATGTCAACTCTTCCCAGAAAAAATGTAAAGTCAAAATGGGGCCAGGTTATGTTTCAGAGTCCATTATGCTTACATTTCAAGTTTATATTTCATCACAAATTTATGAAGTGACACTGGTACAGCAGACTTCTAGACCCATAGCAGCTTTACCACCAAAACAGACAATTTTTTTAGAGCAGTATAATCTGTAATGGCTCTTTTTTAAGAAAAGAGGGCTCGGAACAGCTCCAAAAATATTTTTCTCAAATTAATAACCAGTGAAAATATTAATAAAATAAAATCAGACTTTTTTAACCAAAACCTTGTGGTTTTCAGAATGAAAACTAATCTTTACTGTTTCATTAAATCAGTTTCACTCACCCTTTCTAAGGGTGATTAAAAAGATGAACTATTGTCCGTTTCCTTTTAGTTCTAATGCTTTGTGTTATTGAACTACATAGTGGACAGATTTAATAGAATTTGCTGCAATGATAGTGTGAATAGCAAGAGGGCCTTTAATCCTTTTTTTTTATAAAAAAAGAGGAAGGGGAAAATTGAAGGTTTAGTGAATATGCTAGACCATCTGCTAGAATAGCCAAAATGAAACTTACCAAAGTTAAAGGACATTAAAAAGGACGGCAGAATTTTAAGGAGAAGACTTAGCTAGAGGGTTAAGGTGAAATGTCTGTTTCATCACTACTGCAAAGTTTGCATGAAAGACACTTTACACCTACTCTCCCACAAAGAGGCATGGCAAGAAATTATGGCAGCTGTTAAGCTATCAACATTTCAAACTCATGTACAAAGATCAGTGAGTAAAAAAAAAAATCTCACTGAGAGCAGTGTTGTTGGTGTGGGTTTACAGTCACAAAGTTTTAGAGCACATTTAAACAGAAGAAATGTCCTTTAAGCTAAACAACTAGCAATACATATACTGAAGCTCAGAACGAAAAAAAAAGCATTTTTTAGCTTTCCTGGATGAATATTGGGCCACACCACTGTAGGGTGTGTGATGCAAAGCTGACTGTACCTTAGCCCAATGGGAAAAAAGTGGAGCAGTCGGGGAAGAAAAGCTGAAAGAAGGAGACAGTGCCAGTGCAGTCTCTATGCTCCAATGCTGTGGTATTAAAATAAAGCACATTGCACCAAGTTTTTGAAACCTTTGGGGTTCTGTACCATTATTTTGGGTGCTGAAATCAATACAGCACAAAAACAGGAACAGTGAAATGTGTTTATTTCTGTTTTTGCTTTCCATGGAAAAAATGTGCGAAAGCAGAACTGAGCAAGCTGTGAGGTTTAACTAATATTTTAATATGAGTGTTTCTGCCCTTTGAGGTTATTTTTATGCTTGGGCATTGAAACACATAATGTAAAGAAGGAACTTACATCACCATATAAACGCAGATTAATCTTTTTCGGCTTTCAGAAATTAATTGTGGAGCTCCTGGACAGTGATTTCAAGTTTCTTTTTCATTTATACAGTAGTATGCTGAAATATTCAACTACTGAATGTGCATATGAACAGGAAAGAAAATTACACAGGTAAAGAGCCATAACATGAATTAAGAGAGAGCATATTTGAGATGAAGAATCGATGTTATATAGAATTATTATTGTATGGCACCTAATTAAGTATTTTTTCTTGTTCTGTCTTTTTACATTTTTAAATTATTTGAAACCAAATGTGAAGAGCCCATAAGTAACAGTGAAAATTGTGTGGAGATCGTGTGAAGGTGAGGGTCAGAAGAGTGGGGAGCCAGACTTACCCAGTATAGTACTTCTGTCCATCCTTCCATGGTGATGCACTGAAAGACTGTAAGCATGGCAAAGGCAAAGTTGTCGAAATTGGTGATGCCTTCATTGGGCCCCACCCAGCCTGGCTCACACTTAGTGCTGTTTTTACAGTGCCTCCCATGAGCTGTGTCAGGGGCACAGGGGGCTGGCTTCTCATCAAGAATTGCCCCTGCAAGAGACCCAGAGAAAGAGAATAGAGTTCAGAATTCTTTACACATGAGCAGCTCCTGATTGAACTCCTGAGCTGAGAAACACTGAGAGGACAAAAAGAAATGAAAAAAAAGGATACAATTCCAGACTGAGAAGACATGAGCGAGCCAAACCTTTTCTGACTGCAAGAAAATATCACTGTCTCTTCCTTCATTCTTAATCAACTGTTCTATTCACTAAGCCACTGATGATAGGATACAAATCTCTACATGCATGTTAAATAAGCTATATAATATCTGCTATACATGCTTATACAGTATACAGTACAGTACTTTCACTTGTTCTTTTACATTAAACTAGTTAAGTTGATGTATAGTGGACTATTACATTTTTTAACCCATTTACTCCGAATCTCCATTTTTATAATATAAATATCTAGTTTCCTCGATGCTGTCATCCACAATTTTGGATACCCCAACACTTTATTCATAGAAAAGAGAACATTTCCCTGACTGAGATTGTAAAAACAGTAAGAATAAATTGGATGTCCAGAAAACATACAGACCAAAACTCAAACAAAAAAATAAAATGGTGATTTAATAAGGTATTGAAAGGTTTCTTCCGGCTTGAACCTCTATTAGGATTAATTTTTAAGAATATATATTTATAGGGTTATGTCTCCAATGTCAAAGTACCATGAGTTGCTTCACAGACCAAAAGTGTTAGCCCTGCAAATAATTCTGAAAATATTTCTTGATATCTACTGTACCCACTTTCAATAATTTTGGAAGTTTGGCACAGGAGCTCACTCAGACACGGCAACCCAGTGCAAAAGTAATAATAAACAACTTACTAATGTCTTTACTAAGTGAAGTCAATGACTGTAGATAGTGCAAGAGATACATATTGTATTTCATATTCAGAAACCATTCAAGACTGTTCTGCAAGAGTAATATGAAGTCTGAAAGCATCTCAATGTACTAACAAAGAATAAAATTATTACATACTGTATAGGAACAGTATGAGAAACAAATTTCTCAAAATGTAAAATTTTCCCATAGGGAAGACATAATTATAAGCTTTTTAAGAACAACAATAAAAAACTAAACTCAAAACTCAATAAAAAACTTTGTCCAGCTTATTGTATTGTAGAATACTCAGCTGTCTAGTCACATTAATGCAACTGATATTTTAATTCTAACATTACTGATCTTGCAAAGTATCAGATAAAAATCATCGAGATATTTTAGTGTAGTTTGAGTTCTAAGTGTGACTGAATACTTGATGTTAAGCAGTGAATGAAATGTTGAGTCATTAGGTTGCCTTGTTTGCTGCAGGTATTTGTAAGTCTACTTTTTTTATTGATAAAATTAATGAAAGATTGTGGTAAACATCCTTTTAAATTTTAATCAAAGGAAATTATTGTTTTAGAGTGGAACTCCTCTCTCAGATAATGGCTCCATTTTGTAATACAGGCCTGCACTCCCAGGTCGCTATGGCAACCATGTGCATTTTTAGTCAGCCTGAATCATCCACTAGTTCTGTATGAACTCATTATCGGTGATTATCAGTACCCCCTGTCCCTAATTAACACTCACCTTGTTACTCCAGGTATTTACTGTAAGTCTGCCTGTACTGTACAAGGGTGAGTCACTGGGTTTGTCTACCTGGAGTCAAATGCCTTCCTTGCTTGCATCATTGTATTCTGACGCTTGCTCATGTCTTCAGCTTCTTTCCTGGATTCCCCATGATTAGTTCTTCTGTGTATCAACCCAGCTTAGGACTTGGTTGGAACTTTTGACTTTTCCTTTGCTACAGACTGAGTTTCCCTGTACCACTGCACTCAGTGCTTTGCTTTCCAATTCTTTTCCACCCATCAGCTCGCTGTCTACTCAGAGCCTTGCATGTGCATTAGCCCTTCAGCATAGTGACCTCTGCTCTCTGCAGGTCAGTGTGTACCATTACAGAACGGCCGAGCCAACAGAACTGTATCCAGCAGGCTCTGAAGCCATTCTCCAGATGCTGGCTTCTCATGAGTCTGCTTTGAGAGCCCAGCTCATCAGCATTGCTGAGCTGAAGGAAGTGTTGCTGATGCAGGAAACATTCACTGCTGTTCATTCTCTAGCTACAGCATTTACCCCCCACTCAAGTTCCAGATTCTGCTTTGGCTTCTGCTCTTTCCCACCTTCCTTTAGTGCCAGATGGATCCCTGAAAGTTGTAGGGAATTTTTGATGCATTGCAATATAACATTCTTCCTACAACCCTCCTCTTTTCCCACAGATTTTTTTGTTGTCTGGGGCAATCTCTGGTCTGGGCTTGAGGGCTGAAGGAGAGAGGAAGTCCCACCTGCAGCTATTATCTTTTCACGGACACCTTTTGGCAGGTCTTTGACACCCCTGGCAGTGTATCTGAATCTATTAATTTTTAACTGGGTTCAAAGCAGGGCACCCAACTGATTGCCTACTATGCCATTCAATTCAGGACTGCGGAGAAAGGAGGCCCTCAATGCCCTTTTCAGAGGAGCTTAAGAACGAGCTGGCCTGCAGAGACCTTTCTTCAACCTTGGAAACCCTCATCAATCTAATGATCCAGCTGGATGCCCGAGAATGATGGCAGGAGAAGCTTTAGAGTGCACCAGCAGATCCCTCTTTTTGGTCTCTGGCGTTCTTCCTCCCTATCCACCACTGACAAGGAATCCATGTAGATCAGAAGGGCCAGGCTCCCATTGACAGAAAGACTTTCAAGTCATAGTGATGGGTTATGCCTTTACTGTGGGGACCAACCACACGGATGCTATGACTGTCCTGTGTTGCCAAGAAATGCCCCAATTCAGTAAGTAAAGATCAGTGCATACTGTGCACAGTGCATACTGTGCTGAGGAACCACTTCTACTTCACTTCTACACCTATTAACATTGCCTGCCACACTCACGTGGAAGTTGGCTATCCCCCTGGGAATATCTTTGGTCCCTTATGCTTTGTTTTCCCCATGTGGAGGTATTGGATGGAAGACCCAAGGTCTGCAGCCATGTAGAAAAAATGTATCCATTGAACATAATGATCCTCTGAATTCAGAAGGATGGCTCCTTGTGTCATGTTTCGAGTACTTCATCATACCTCTTGGATTCTGCAAACTTAGCTAACAATATCTTCAGGGACTATGTGGACAAATTAATCATTGTGTACATTGATGACACCCTTATCTACTCAAGCTCCCTCTACAGTCATACCCTGAGGCAGGTGTTACAATGCTTGCTGCAGCATCACCTTTATGCAAAATTAGAAAAGTGCGAGTCCCACTAGTGAAGTAACCTTCCTGGTGTACAAAGTCTTTTGTATTGGCCCACAAATGGACGATTGCATGAAGGACTGACCTACTTACTCCTCCCTTCATGGGGTTCACAAATCACTACTGCTGTTTCATATGGAACTTCAAAGTGGTAGTAATACCAATTACAGTCCTTAGCAAGAAGAGTCCCGAACAGGGCAGGCAGGGAGTTTGAGAAGCCGAAATGCCACTTTTATCTGAGCTCTGCTTCTCAGACACTTGAACCTTTGAAGTTAAAGTTGGGTCCCGTTTTTCTCCCAGTTCAATTTTTCCATCTCCCACCAATCTGGTTTGAAAAATGGAAAGGTCGATACTTTATCTCAGATCTATTCCCCAGACAAGATTCTCTTGGATCCCCGGATCATAATACTGGCTTTCCACATTTTGGAGGGAAACTGCTGGAAGTGGAAGAGGCAGTTCTGGCAGCACTGGCCTGTGATCCCACTATGGCCAGAGCAATACCATACAGAATTTGGCCACAGCACCAGGCCTGTGGTTCACTCAGGCATCCAACATTCACTGGAATTAATCCACTGGTACATTAGTTGGCGTATAATGAGGTCCAAAACTGAGGGCTTTATGGCAGCATGCTCCTTCTGCAACAGGTGCAAGAACCCAAGAAACGCTCCAGCTAGTCTTCTGCTCATCCTCTTTCCATTCCTCGGTTCCCATGGTACTCAATCTTCGTGGACTTCATCACTGGTCTTCCCCGCTTTCTAGGGTTTTCCATAATCTTTACAGTAGCTGACCGATTCTCCAAGGCTGCATACTTCATCCCCAAAGCCTGGCTACTATCAGCATCTGAAAAGGCTGACATCTTCATCAAGTCGGTAGTCCATCTCCACAGTCCTTCCACCAATATAAGTTCCAACTGTGGCCATCAGTTTGTTTCAAGGTTCTGGAGCACCGTCACCTTCTGGGAATCCAACAGTTAGACAGAGTGGGCAACTCAAGATCTAGAGACTTTGTGGTGCCATTTTTGTTTTTTCAGGATGACTGGCTGCATCTGGCGCTGAACTGTCCCAAAATGTCTTGGTTATATCTTCCTCAAGTATGTCTCCCTTACAGTGCCTGTACAGGTACAGCCTCCACTCCTCAGGCTGTCCCCGGATTTCAGAAATATTCTTGAAAGGCTTTGGCGTTGTGTTCAGGACAACCTACTGAGGTCTTTGACAGGGCAGCTGCACTCCACCAGCTGTTGCTGGAGGACCACTCCACCTTTGATCCCTGGGCAAGTGGTCTGGCTGTCAACGAAGCACCCAAATCTGGCTCCTCGCTTAATCGGACCCTATCGGATCACTGAACGAGTGAATGTCGCCACTTATTGTCTCACTCTTTGCCTGCCAGCTTAGACAACGCACCTTACAGCCTTTCATGTGTCCTTACTGAAACTCCCATTCCCTATTCCCCTCCTGTTGGGGGATCGGAACAAACGCTCTCTACAGCACATCCTGATCCACCACAGGGATTCTGGGCCTGAAAAGTGATTCTGGGTTTCTGCCAAGGAACCAGGCCCCCTTTGCCTGATCTGTGCTTTCCACGTCAGATACCCAGGAAAGCCTCATCTAATGCCCAGAGGTCGCCTTTTGAGGTGGGGAGATTCTGTAATAGCCATGCAACTGCAAGCTCACACTTCCAGGTTGCTACCAGGTTTTTCCACAGGGGTCTTTGTCATCAATGAGTTCCGTACAAATTTTTTATAAACAGTTTTCACTACCTCCTGCCCCTAATTAATGGGTAGTCACCATCTTTCTCTTATATTTAAGTCATGCGTGTACTGTACACTGATGCCCCGGCGTGAGGTTTGTTTCCCTGGAGTCAAATGTCTTTCTTGCTTCGCTTTCGTGCTTCGCTATTCCTTGCTTGCTTCATTATCCCTGCTTACTTGCATCGATTATACTTTCTCATGCTCTCAACTTCTCTCCCAGATTCTCACCAAGGCTGGTACTTTTCTGTCTACCCAACTTCAGACTTGGTCTGAAACTTTGAGCTTAAACACTGGATTTTCCCACTGCTCTTGGTGCTGTGCTTTCCATTTCATTCTCACCTGTGTGCTTGCTTTCTACTCAGAATCTTGCATGTGGATTCACCCTGCACCTCAACAACTGCCACCTTCTCCAAGTAAGTGTGTGTCATTACACTTTTAGAATACATCTCTGCAACCACTCTGTACTGTACCCAAGATGGTTCAACTTGTGAAAACAACCCTGCAATAAAGATCTGTTTTATATGGATTGCAGTATCTGCTTTACAATTAACTTATGCACCTGCTTACCAAGGTAAATTTACATGTACTATTTACAGTGCTTTCCCATATGTATTTTATGTCATGCATTAGCTTTGCTATGTCATAGTTTCCCAAAGTGTTTATTGCATCTGCCCATGTGTTCTCATGGTTTCACTATACTGATTCTGATGCATCTCTTTTTTCACCAGAACAAATAGGAAAAAGTCAGTGTTTGTGTATCAAAGAAAAGCACTCACCTGCGATGCCGTCCTTGACAGGTAAACAAGTGCGGTGCATTTTACCCATGAACAGTTCCAGTCCGATGATGGCGTAAATGATGATTACAAAGAGAACCAACAAGGCAATGTGCAGAAGGGGGACCATGGCTTTGATGATGGAATTTAAAACTACCTGGAGACCTGAAAGCCAATAAAGTTAACATTTAGATACGTTTCAGCACCATTGACATCCATTCTCCCTCTGTGTTCACCTAAAACATTAAAAAGTTTTAAAGATGATAAAAATAAAAATATTAAGTTAGTAAAGGTGATCCAAAACTATGTTTCTTTCTTTGTCTTCTTTGTAGTGTACTGTAGCTCTTGTACTGAGATATTCTCAAGACATAAAAAGAAGAAAAGGAGAAATGACATTATACAGTGCACTCACATTTATGCTTAAAATGTATAAAGGTGCTAAAATATATTTCAAACAGTTTCTGTGACCATCTATTTTCTCTTTGGAGAACAAAAGAAGCTTAAGAAGATTTGAAGCACAGTAAGATACTCAGTGATTCCTGAATTTTTAATTTTTAAGGAAAAACTCTAAATTTGCCTGTTGTGTTACTCTCCATGGTTATAGTTATAAATATTAGAGTTTTTAAAGGCAATGTCAAATTGGTCAGTTTTTAAAAAACAAAAATAAGCAAATAATACTCATTAGATAATATAACAGTGAAAAAAAACTCAAAAAGAGAAAGGGTAAAACCCTAGTGTCCTGACCAAATTCCCTCTGGCCTTTCCCAATCTTGGCCTCCTAATAATCACCATCTACTGTATGAATTATCTTTATTAATTCTCTGTTCTCCTCCTTAGTGAGTGTACTGGTGCAGTTTGACTGCCATTGCATCATCCAGGTGGATGCTGTACATTGCTGGTGGTGGAGGGTAGTCCCCATTATCTGTAAAGTGCTTTGAGTGGAGTGTCCAGAAAAGTGCCTTATAAGCACAAGAAATTATTATAAATTATTACAAGAGAGAGAAAGAAGAAATGTGGAGAGAAATGTATAAATGCAATCATGTTTAACCTGTGGAAAAAGCGTGGTAAAGCCAAAGCGATTCTATGCTTTGGTTTGATCAAATGACAGCATGATTTGTGGGAAAAAGTCCTGGGAAAACACAGTACCAGATTTAGCTGTTAATTCTAGGAGTAGCAGAACTATTTGTAGTATAATGATCAATGATAAAGCATTGCTTCTGAATATCTTCATGTGACTATACCAACAGAGTACTGTGCAAAGGGAGGACTAAAAAATGAAAGATCCTGCAGATGTGTCTGCTGGGATGTTTGTGAGCAAACTGGTATGGTTATAACAGGGCGACTGGTTGGCATGAAGAAACCAGCTGCTGGCCGATGTAGTCTCTTGTGGGCTCTGTAATGCCCATGAAGAGGTTGAGAAAATAATGTAGCACAATCATTGACCGTGTAGACACACATAAGAGGAAAACGTCTATAGGTTTGTAAGTTGTCTCATCTGAGGTTAAAATGATCTGCTACCAGGGACGTAGACAATGTCTGTGTGACTCAGTTCTTTTTTTTAGGTGAGCTTTTTTATTAGCTCACCAGAGGTGTCACTGATTCCTCTGGTAACACCATGAGGAATGTGCACTATTAAGTTTTCCATTATTGGGAATGATGATTTTTAGCAGTCTGACTTGAGCTCATCACTCCCCATTCCTCTGCTTCATCACAATATGTAGGAAAGCATAAATGGTTGGGATTAGGATCTGACTCTCTCCCAAATTCCTGTTAATAAACTGCTTAATTTGACACAAATATAAACTTTGTTACATTGAAACTAGGTTAATTCTTATCTTACTGTAATACACTATACAATAAAATACAGTTTATTCAATTAAAACTTTTGGGCAGAGATTGATATAAGAGAAAGTATATTTAATTATAAGTATAAAACATTAACCAATTGTATTGGTTTGGTTTTAATAATGAAATCGAAGAAAACAAATGCATTTTAACCCTTTAACCAATTTATTTTGAATCCTAAAGCCAATATTTTATTAATGCTATTTTTCAGTCTCTGGTTTTATTGCTGACTTCTCCAATACATGAGAGAACAGACGTTAAGGATTTTAGAATCCACTTTCATTTTTTAATGGATTTAGACAAGATGAGGAGCTATTGGGCTGTTTTTCACTCCAGTGAAGTTTATGTTTTCCACAGGGTTTAATAAAACTAATGCAAACTCTGCACTATCAATACCCTGCAATAGAAAACCTACTGACGGTAAGCATAAAATTCAAAGATATTGTGGACTACTGTAATACATGTCTTTCAGCTCTGTTAAGTTAAATCCCTTTGGGCAGCTTTCCTGGTCATTAAAAGAGTCCTGACTGCAGAAAACTTCAACAACATTTCTGGGAGTGATAAACATCTATTTCTTTGATGTCGTGTTGAGTCAAGGACCTGTAACAAATGGAAACAGATAATCTCTAGAAAATACAGCTAGAGAAATTAATCCCATGTTGGGGGGTGTGTATCTGAATACAGACTAATCTAGAAAAGGAAGCAACATGAACATTGAGCTGCAATCAGTTTTTTTTTTGCCTGAACCAACAATTTGCTGCCTGCGATTAATCTAAAATATCCCTTTCAGTTGCATTCACCAGAAACCTTTTGAGTTGTCTGATTATAGTAGAGAGTTTAAAATACGTATCTTCAATGGGACAGACAAAGCCAGTCCTGGTCCAGACTTCTGTGAGTCCTGTACGCTATTTTCATAGATAACTTTTAAATGACTTTGAAATCTAAATGTCCACAGAATTTGGCCTACTTACATTACTTTGTCCGTGTCTCTTATTGTGAATCCAAAGAACGCTCAAGTGGTAAAGTGGAAATTTAAATAGATGTTAATGAGCCACTGAGTATCATTTACACCAGCTAAGATTTTTTTTTTAATCAGGTGAGTTAACAAGGTCTCAGGTGATGAAGATGAAGAAAAATGAGGACACTCTACAAACACTTTACAGCCATTGCATCAGTAGATCATACTCAATATGGTTTCTGTGTATTCTCTTTCACATTGTACACTACTAAAGGGAGACATTGCCCATCAGAAACAGCTCAAAAGGCACCATGCTACTGCTAACTTTATGTTTATGACAAAGAAATGCTGCACTCTGGAGATGTACTCTGCTAGCCATGTCAACATAATATTTTTATTCAGACAATAGTGCTGAGCAGCATCAGTGCAGCAATGGTCAATGTAAGCTTGATTATTATCCACCCAACCACCCAACCTCAGTAACAGTGCACAGTGCAATTATCAATAAAACTTAAATACTAGAACATATGATCATCCATCCACCCATTCTCTAACATCTTTATCCAATTCAGGGTCACTGGGGAGCTGGAGCCTATCTCAGCAAGCAATGGGCACAAGGCAGGATTGACCCTGGATTGGACAGCAGTCCATAACAGGACAAACACAGACACACACACTCACACTAGGAAACATTCTCCCAGAAGCCAGTCAATCTTCCAATATGTCTTTGGACTATGAGAGGCAACAGGAACACCCAGAAACCCACGCAAACACAGGAAGAACACACAAACTCTACCGCAAGTCTGAAATTAAACCCAGGGCCCAGCACTGCAAGGCTGCAATACTAACCACTGTGCCCACCTTTGATCATATGTGTAGTAACACAAATTGGCTTAAAGGGGGGCCTTAGAGATACACAGTATATACCATAGAACTAATCTATGGTATACTGCTTTATTGCTTATGAATTAAGTGAAATTTGACTACAAGTGAGTATGTGTCAACCATGGTTCTTGAATAAACATTCTTTACAATGTGTCACATCTGGGCAGCTGGCAACATGCTGCTCATAGATCCATACTCACTGGGCACCCCAGAAACCAGCCGTAGGGGACGCAGCACCCTGAAGGCACGCAAAGCTTTCACGTCGAACCCCGCTGCCTTCCCGCCAATCGGAGTCGCCCCCTCTGCTTTCGTGGCTTGCTCTAAAATAGCACTAAAAAGCCTGAAATGTGAAAAGAAAGAAAATGCATTGATTAATTTTGTACACCTTTTTAGCACATGAGAAAACTATGTACTGTTTAATATATTTCAGATTGGTTTCAGATTTCAAGTCTTACAATAAATCTTTACTCTATTAAAGGAACATGGCAATCATTTCTAAATTATTTTTATATTATTTGCTAGCAAGGCTTGGTTATAGAAAAGGATTCAGCCTGTTTCTCTATATACTGTATGTGATGTTTTATGCAAAGAATTGTATTCCAAATCCTAATTTTAGAAGGTAATTCATCTGTTGTGCAAATTACAAGGCAATATACTTTTCCTGATAAATACCAGAAGACATATTTTCTGTTCTGTCCAGCATTGTCTCAGTGATTGTCATCACAGCAAGACACCACCTAACTATGTAAACCCAAGCAGAGCAGGTGCTCAATTTTTTTAGGAGTATTTGCATATTTATAAACACAAAATTACAGACAGCAATCTTAACCTCCAGCACTTTCAAAAATCGATAACAATATATTGGTATAGAAGCTACAGAAGTGTAAACTGACATACAAGTTTAAATACTGCAACTTTTTTAGACTAGACAGCCATTTCATAATTAATTCAAATTCAGTGCGACACATGGATTATTGTGCATTTGGATCACAACATGCAGACAAGAAGGCAAAAAATAAAAGCTCTATTGCAATTGCCAGAGAGGAGCACTATTCTTGATTCATTTTTGTATTGTATTCTTCAAGTGCACTATTTTCAGTGCTTTACCTTGTCAATATGGGGACAAAAACATATTTTAATAAAAAATGCCCTTCAGAAGGATGTCGGCTATACTTCAGACACAATGGTTTATCAATTTATATGAATTAGCTATTTCAATTGCCTTTCAATTCAACTCAGCTCTGATAGCATCTCCAGACAACACTCTTTATTTCACTTGAGTGCTGACAATGACTAATCAGAGTAGGCAATTAAAAGGTAATTTTACAGGGGACAAATAAAGATGTAAAATGTATGTCATAAGTTGGAATAGTATGGTTGCTGAATTTTAAGTGCGAACATTTAATTAATGATATAATAATTTAATAACAGTTGATGAATAAACAGGCAATATAAACAGTTTATATCTGAAAGATTCAGCAGGACTACAGCAAAGAACAAAGTAAAAAATATTCAGGTTCGGACACAGAATTAGATTTTAAACCTATATATTTTTTAAAAAACAGGACATGATTAACAGAACATTCATATCGATTGACATGTCTGCATAGAAACTTTTTAAATTATAATTCATTTTAAATAAAAAAAAGATTCTAATTTGCTAATCTCTATTTCTGAAATGTACTAATGTGTAGTTTTTTAATATATGGAACCAAATAGCTAAAAAAAAACCTGTATTTATGGCCAGACGAGTCTGTTTATTTAATAATTGTTCTTCCAAATAAAAAAGGGGGCTTCCTTTCACAAGTAATGCCTGCGGTCAGAGAACTCTTGTTTATATAAGATCTTTGTCTAGCCAAAAATTTGTCCTGATGAAGGCTTGTTTGCTGAAACACTGACAAGTGTTAAATAAAATGTATTTTGGAATAGAGAGAGTGTGCGTCTGGTTGATTCTACCAGATAAGGAGGGGAACAGAATGGTGACTCAGATGCAGTCAGGTTGCAATTAGACCTCCTGTCTGTCTCTACAGATTTAGCATTTGCAACAGAATCTATGTTCAATTGGGAGGAAATTTGTCTCATATAATATTCTTTGTCTAAAGGAGACCTTGAATTTTAAATGCATGTTTATTTTGTGATAGATATGGAGACTTGAAATCAATGGATACTATGATAAGCTTGTACACTGCACTATTATGATCCCATTTAGAACATTGTGTACAATTATGGTCACCATGTTACGAAAGTATATTGCAACTTTGGAATCAGTCTGCAGGACAGTGCAATTCCTAGACTCAAAGAAATGTCATACATTAACTGAATTAAAGAATAAAGAAGAGTATGAGTGAACCTGATCCAAGTATTCAAAAGCTACTTACACAACACAAGTGACCCTGATGGACTTCTTCAGGGCCAACCAAGACAGAAATCAGTGTCAAGTGTACTCAAGTGGAAACTTGCCAAGGGAAGTGTATTTTAAATTGAGAACATGTTTGAACATGCTTGTTTTGTTTTTTTTTTTACTCAAAGGGGTGTGGAAGTCTGGAACAAGCTACCTAATTATATTGTATAAGCAGATGTTGTGGCATCACTCAAGAAATGGCTGGAAGAGATCTTCAGATCAATCACTAGTAACCAAAAGAGCTAAATGGGCTCCTTATGTCTCATTTCCTTAATTACAGCACATACTGTACTGTATTATGTCATGTTATGTTCTGTTTCTTTTTTTACTCCCCTCCAATGCGGGGGTCCATTTTTGGAGGTAGGTGTGTCCCTAAATTGGGTCTCTCTCTGGATTGGCTGAAGAGAGTGCTTGGGTTTTAAACGGGACAGTTTTGGTACGGGACAGTTCAGGAGAGGGTGTGTGGAAGAGAGGTGTTAGAAGAAGAAACGGTGAAAACGCGAGATGTATCGGATTTTTTTTCTTGGCTAAGGTGTAGGGTTGGGATTGGAGTTGCTTTCGAGTTCTTTTTAGTTTTCCGTTATAGCTTAGTTTAGATAGACGAGACGGATATCTCGCTGAAGACTTTTCTCGGGAGACAGGTTTAGAGGGTATTGGGTTGTAGAATAGTGTAGTGTTTCTTTTTGTATATTTCAATCCTTTTAAACCTTTGCTCATATGTTAGTCCCCATTCGCCCCTAGACTGATCCATATTGGGGACGTAACAGTCATAATCATCTTTAAAAGAGCTGAACATGTTCAACGAGAGACTAGGTCTTTATATATAAAAACTTATAGTTTCAGTTGTTTGATCCCCCTTGCTTTGCATGCGGCGTTTATGTATAGGTCTATGTTAACCAAACAACCGCAGAAGATTCTTATTTTTTGTATCACCATCCAGCCGAAGCACCCTGTAACATCACAATACATTGTCCAAATATTACACTCAAACTTTCCACTTGAACTGCTGTTATGAAGAATCGCCATTGTTGTCATCCAGAACAGATGTAAGCAAAAAGTGTTCAATGAATTTAAATAGACACTACATGCATTATTTATTATCACTCGATACATGGCATTACCCTGTTCTATGACAAGACAAGTACCAGCCCTGTGTTTAAAACAAGTGATGTGCCACTGTTCAGCATAAACATCCATTCATCTATTTTTAGCCACTTAATAGTTAAGTTAATTGGTATCTGGGAAAATTGGCCATGATGTGTCTGGGGCACCCGGAGCCTCAACCGGCAGTATTTCTTTGGACTGTGGTAATAAATTGGAGCACCCAGAGGAAAACCCAGTGGACATGTGAAGAACATACTGTGCAGAAACTGTAGCACTCCAGGTCCATGCACCAGGACCTCAGTACCTGTGAGGTAACATTGCTAACCTCTGCACCACAGTACTGCCCAACAGTATGAACATTTTAATTGTGACATCTATAGAATACTTAGGAACAAGTAATAGGTTTATTCCATGCTGAAAAGAGAAGAAAGAGAACACAACGTTTCGGCCGTGGAGCCTTCTTCAGGTGTGAAGCCTTTTTCAGCCTTCTTCTTCAAGCGTCACACCTGAAGAAGGCTCCACACCCGAAATGTTGTTTTCTTTCTTCTTTTTACAGCATGGAATAAACCTATTACTTGTTCCTTTGCAGCCTATGCATGCTGATGCAGCTACCCACCTGAACTATAGAATACTTAGATTTAAGTGATGAACATAAACATATAATACAGTACCATATGCAACTGAGAAATTTCAAAATGAATTGTCAAAAGGAACTTGGCTTTGGACACTGGGGAAGGCTGTGTGTTATAAACACTGAGTACAGGAGCTCCTTTCAAGTGTTGTTATTTTGTGTGGCTGATGTTTTCACTGCGAATGAAGATATTTTTAACTAGACCTCTGCCAACTGGAAAGAGCCTCTGCTAACATTAATGCCTCCAAACTCCATTTAATGATCTACAGTAAACAGAGTTTCGTATTTTTGGCCTCCAACACGCACTTCTTTATTTAGATAGGGTATTGTATCTTTATTTCAATTTTATATTTCTGCTGTAAGGTTATTGAATACATAACACAAACAAAAGTGGCATTTATGTAGTACTGTATGTACTTATAATAAATTAAAGTAAGTTACAGTATACAGTATGTATTGGAAATAGTATTCCCACACCAGCTATCAAAGGACACAGGTGGTAGAGAACACTTTAAATATGCTTTGACCAAGTGCTATTTGGATAAGGTAGTTTCTAAATGTTACACTGTTCGTACTATACTTTCTCCAAGCACATTACTATTATTGTTGTTATTATTAATAATAATAATAGCATAGTGCCTTGTATGGGATGCCTGTCAGTAACAGGACACACACAGACACACACTCACATAAGGGCCAGATTCACAGATCCAATTAACCTACCAGAATGTCTTTGGACTGTGCAAATGGAATGTGGAATCAGAAGCACCCTCAAGAAACCCACGTGAACACGAGGAAAACATGCATGCCCTATGCACCCCAGGAATTTTAGCAGAGATAAATGTTCAGCAAAGGATAAGTTATAAAGTGGGCACATTGCAATTTAGAATAGGCTATGTGTACTGCAGATACATTCTACGAAGTATCAAGAGCCTCAATTGCAAAGGTTTTTTGTGCTTACTTCCATATAAGGCTCACAGTATTTAACGATGTGTATACAGTTTTGGATGTGAGTTTCTGGACCCTGTAACTTTAATTTGGTCATTCATTAGAAGGTCTTAATTATTAGTCGCTAGATGACTTACAGTACACTTTGATATCTTTTACAAGTAAAAGCAGTTAAATGATTCTCATAAACATTACAATTCACTGATAACTTTGTTTCATATACATGGCACAAATGTCTTCAGCTGAATTCAAAGTA